ACCCGGCCGCCTGCCCAAAACGTTCCAAGGAAGCGGGCAGCCTCCAAAAGATCTCGACAGAGAGAGCGATGTTTGGAGCGAGCCTGTATTTCTGTCTGGTGCTCGTCCCCAAGGACGTGCCCCACACCGAGAGCCCGATTTACGCTTCTGTCAGCCCTGCAAGAGCTGGGACACGTCCGCCCGGGCTCCTTGTTCTGAGGCCACCCAGCCTGCTGCCAACCGGCATAAATAACGCCCACATTTCATCTACGGCTCCCCAGGCCGCCGGCAAACCAAGGACGAGGGAACTGTTCTACCAAAACCAACAGCAAGAAGACAAACATTCACCTACTCATTTCAAACACATGGGATGCCAGGAAAGCCCGTCCCTCCTCGGCCCCCTCGCTGACAGCCCCACAACAAAGAATTCCCCAACAACAGGCTCCACGACACAGACACGGCGTCACACGAAGCTTCACTAGGGTCCACGGGCACTCACTGGCCCGGCTCGTCGGCAGAACCGGGACATCACAAACCACGACGACGGCAAAAACACCCAAAGAACACGACGCGTCTCCGCGGCGCCGTAGCCCCAATGCGAGGCCGTGACGCTCCAGCCAGTCAGGCGGCGAGGACGGGCAAAGAGCAGCAGGTCACAGAGTCAACACGAACACGGCTCGATACTCCTTCACGCCACAGCTCAGGTCAAGCCTCCGCCCTCCACACTCCTCCTCCAGGCCCTGACAGTTCAACACATTAAGGGAACACCTTCAAACAGCGGTTAAGTACTGTGGGAAAAGCCTTTTTTAAGGTAAAAAATACCCAAACCAATGCATAAACAACAGACCAAGGTGAAAAAGTCAGCAAGAACAGAGGTAGTGTTCATGTCACCGTTTTAAGGATTCTTCCACAAGTGCCCTGTTTTAACGAGAGACTCGTGTTTGTTCTGGTAACAAAAAAAAAAGTATGACTAATCATTTTGTTGAGTCTTTGAAACAGAATTATTTCAGCATTTTATATATATAGATAGATAAACAGATACAAGTATCTATCTATATATACACACACACAAGAACCACATTATTATACTTGGCAGACAGTACTAGAAATAGCATCCTGCAGGACAACAGGCAACTCACAAAATCCTCTTCTAAGCCATGCAATACATTTTATTTTCCCTTGTGCCACTCACGATGACCCACTACCACGGTTGCTTTTGTTTGTTTTTTTTCTCTCCCTGCTTCGAGTACAAGGAGGGGAAGAAGAGGTGGCATCAGAGGAACAACCGCAAGTCAGATGATAAAGCTGCGTCGGTGCAACGAATAAACGCCGTGAGAAACCCCCAAACCCACCTCCCCGCTCCCCCCCACAGAAGGCATCAACTTTTGCCCAGCCAAAGCGTGTTCTTCAAGTTTCCGACCGCCGGCTTCGCTGCCAGCTTGGAGGCAACGCCTGCGCTCCTCAGCTTGGGTTGTGGCTCACAGAGCACGGAAGACTCGCTCGAAACGGCCTCTTTGGAGTCCGTCACGGTCAACACATCCACGTCGCTCGATAAATCCTCTGAGGACAAGTTAAGACAGCCAAGCTTGGCCAGGGAATTGGACCTTTTCAGAGGAGAAGACACAGTCAAGCCGGCCAGCCGCAGCCTGGTCTCGATTTCCTGAGTCCGCTGCTTCACCAGGCCGGGTTTGCCCCGCACGCTGTGGATGCTGTCGCTGCTGGAGCTGCGCGTCAGGTTGGAGCTCCGGGAGGACGAGGGAGTGTAGCAGATGGTCTTGAGGAAGTCCTTGGTGAAGCTGCTCGTGTGCTCCAAGCGACACACGAGAGGCGTGGAGGTTTTCTGAGAGACGCCCTCCAAGACACGTTTCACCTCCAGCTTCTCCACGTCATTTTCTCTGTCTCTGGGTATCAATGGCACCGGCCCCAGGAGAGGCACGAGGCCAGGATGGGAAATCAAATCCTCGCTTTCCTCCACGATGCTGCTGTCCACCCTGCTCAGGGGGCTCTCTCTGAGCAGTGCCGCGGTGTCCGAGCTTTTCAAGCGCTCCAGCTCTTTGGTGTGCTTCCGAACCAAGCCGGCTTTCTGCAGCTGAATAAGAGACTCCTGGTGCTGCATCAAGTAACTGCTCGCGCTCGGCTTTTCCACGTCTTTGCTGAACAGCAAGTACTTCAGATCCTTGGCGGCTTTGCTGTCTTTTCTGGCTAGAGACTCTTCTTTCCCCGCTTCGGCGCTGAGGAGGCTCTTGTCACAGTGGGAGTTTCTCCTGGGCAGCAGAGTTTTGACGGGGGTTTTTGGTGCATCTTTTCCTTTCTCCAAAAGGCCGCAGGGCTGATGGAGCGATTTGCAAGCGCCGGCCTCCAAAGCGCCACCAGTTCCTGCCAGCAGAGGAAGGGGAGCCTCATTACTTTTAGTCCTGATGGCTTCCTCGGAGTGCCCCTTGCTGGGCAGGTGGTCCACCAAGTTGGAGTTGATGTGGGAGAGGAGGGCCGGCTGCGTGCAGATGGTGGCGTTGCGCCGCGCGGCGCCGGGGTTCAGCTTTTCACACTGCTCCCCGAAGGAGTCGGGAGACAAACCGGCCGAGGAGTACATGCAGTCAGCGCAAGACTGATAGGAAGGCTTGACCTTGCTGAGGATCCCAAATACGGCGTCACGCTGCAAGAAAAAGAAAAAAAATAAACAGGTACAGACCAACGCGCACAGAACAGGACGTCAGCGACGGGCAAAGCACCACGAGATACATTTTACAGCCACGCGGACTTGAAACGAAGCCCATTTTCCACTTCTCTTAAGGCCCTGCAGCAGGAACAAAAAGCCACGAACGTTCTCAGCAGACAGTATCTTCAAGGGAAGGATACCTACCGGGTCAAGCGGTGGTCAGGCAAGCGAGTGGCCCAAAGCGGTTTACGGGGCACTCACGTGCGTGCTCTCTCCCTCTGGCATCTAAATCCATAGCCTGGGCAAGCAAAGCCATGTTCAGAAGCACTTCAAAAAGGAAGCAGCTCATCATGGAATGAAAGGCTTTATCCAAGTCAAATGAAACTGTGCTATGAAGATGAGAAGAGCAGTTTCACTTGCAGTAGAGTCAGCCATGCTAGTCACCTACGTTTCAACTCCATACGCACCTCAAAATCCTCCGGGCAACTCCTTTTGCTGTTGTTGTTATTCAAGTTCTCTCTATTAAGCCTGCTCTCCTCCTTGTGCATGGACAAACGCCGCTTCCACTTCTCCATCGGGTTTTCCTCCCTGATACCGTCCTCCCCGGGATCCAGCACTACCCTTCCCTTCCGGGGACTGAACTCCAGTTTCTTCTTCACTTCCTTCTCACAGAAACTGCTCAGCTCTGCTGGTGGCTCGGCACTCTCGGGGCCTTTTCCCGTCTCCGGCAGCACAGACAGAGGCTGCCCCACCAGGGAGGCGGCGCGCTCCGCCAGCGCGTCCCGCTCCACCTCCTCCACGTGGAAGAAGCCCTCCCTGTCACCAGGGATCTTGTTCTCCAACAGCGTGTCCGAGAGGCGACGGAAGCAATAATTAAACCCCATGGGCACCTCTGTGCTGGCGCGGTTGTCCAGGTACGACGGCTGCGAAGGCGTGTCCAGGTCCGCCAGGCGGTTTTCTAGGTCAATGTCTAAGCTCTCGAGTAAGAAGTCGCCCGACCCCGTGGTGCCGTCCGTGTGCGGGGGCAGGTTGCTCTCCGCCTGCTGTTTCCACAGCTTGTTGTGGCGCTGCTTGCTGGGGGAAAGGACAAAGACACAAAGGAGAACTGTTGAACGGTAGGATGCTCGCTTCCAGGAACGACCCTCCCCTCTCTCCGCAACCCAGGACTGGAAGCCTGACTGCTGGGTCCAGCCCTGCAGCCCCGCTTGGGGCAAAAAGCCTCTTTAGCATCAGGATTTTGTCCCTCCTGCCTGCCCACTCCAGTCTTTTTGGTGAAGCAGCAGTGCCCTGCACCGCACTCAGGGTGGGAACAGCCCCTGGGGGCCCCCTCAGGGCAAAGGGGCACAGAGCCCCCCTGAACCAGCATGCCCATGCAACTTGTGGCAGAGCTCCCACCGAACTGGAGTGGAAAATTCTTCCTCCAGTGGAGCAGAGGCCAAGCAGAGCACACAGGAACCCTGCTTAGATACCACGGGGCTCACAATGACAAAGACTTGTGATCAGCATGGTCACCCAGAGCTGCAAATGACTCGTCCCCAACACTGCCCGAGCTCCATTCTGCCTCATAAAACACGAACAATGTTTGGCCCAACAGTGCTGGCTGCGGAGAAACACGAACGTGAACGTGGAGAAATCCTTGCTGAATTAAATCGGAGCAGATATCCCTAGAAGACAGCTGATTTCCAGCCACAGAGGCCTGGCAGAGAAAACTTTAGAAAAAAGCCCAGTTAGCCCAGGCTTCTGCATCTGCCGGCTGCTCGGGAGTGCAAGACGTTGACAGAAGAACCAATTTCCTGAACAGAATTCTGCCGAGATCAATATTTCGTGACACGAAACCACGAGATGCGGCTTCAACCGAGCTCCTTTGCTTCTCCTGCAAGTCACCTTTCCCTCACCTTACCTGGCATCTAAAATGCCCTCATATTCCAGAAGCTGCCTCATGAAGCCGGCGTTGGGTCTCGCGATGCTGCGCTTTTGCTTCACGTAATTGTAGGCTTTCTCCAGCGACCAGCCGAATTCCTTCATAGCGTAAGCGATGACGGTTGACGCTGAGCGGCTCACGCCCATTTTGCAGTGCACCAGGCACTTGGAGTGATTCTTCCTGCAAGGAAGACAAACAGGAAAAAAAAATAGAAATAAAAAAAAATCCACAACGTCTTTCTGGTTGTGCTCTCCGTCGTCACGTGGAGGAGGGACAGCTCTTTGTCCTCCCGCCCACTCTAACACCACAGGTGAGAAATATTTGGGATTAAGTGGGATGAGAAACAGTTGGGATTAAGTGGGCCACGAGAAGAATCTCTCTCTCCAGAGAAGCTGGGAGTTAGAGAAGGGCAGCCTCAACCATGCTGCCATCCCAGAGGCGACTGTGAAGTCTTCAGACACAGGGATAATACGCAGGAAGAACCCGAGTGTAAAAGCAGAGTTTGACAGGCTCTGTCACTGTCTCTTGTCTGCAGAGACGGCTGGGGATGTGGTGGAATATTTCCAGATGTGCTGGAATACTTCCAGAACTTCCCGAGAAGAGGTAACATCCTCATTTCCTTTTGGAAGCAAACCAAAATAATAACAATAATCAAAATCATCATAGGCTAGGAACGGGTTAATGCCAGGAAAAGAAGAGACAAATGTACGAGGAAGTTCCAGGGACAATTCCTGGCAAAAGCACCATCGCAGAGCCCTGCTGCCACCTCCTCGTGGGGCTTCAGGTAGGACTCAGCTCCATCCGGATGGAGCCCGTGGTGTCAGACCCCGTGTCTCCGACTAAGCCGCGTCTCCCAGCCCGCTCACTTGGCCTTGTTGATGAAGTGGTACGCTTCGTTCCAGTGAGCCAGGAGGTCTGTTGTCTCCTCGTCGTACACTCGGATGTTGTGGTAGGCAAACAAACCGGGGAAGAAGTTATCGATTTCTCTGGTCACGTTCAAAATGTAGTCAATGCTGCAGAGAAGGAAAAAGAGAAGTTGAAGCACCGTAGTGGCGAAAAGGGAGCCACCGCGCGTTGTGAAGTCCATGAAATCCTTTTCCTTCAGAGCTAAAATATGAAATCAGAGTCACGTGGCATCTTCAATTCCTGCCAAATGTTACAGCAGGGATGACAACGTACCCAGGGAGAACAAATGCCCATATTGATTTATTACCTCCTATCATTCAGATAAATCAAGGATACAGGATATTCGTATCAGAATTTGTCCGGCTTTGACTTTTAGACCCTGCAAGTCAAGATGCCTTCCCCATAGATCAGAAGTATTAATGTGTCGCTCGTTCTCTCGTTCAAAGATGTTCAGACATCTGTTCCCAAGGACTCCAAATTAAACATTTTTAGTCACGCTGTTGAGCAATATTTCTTCGGTTTCTCACATCGAGGTTAGCGGATGCCTTGGGCAAGCAGCAAATACTTATATGCATAATTCTCACTCGGCCAAAAGAAAAAAAAAAAAAGGCATGAAAAGTAAATGAAGCCCAGAAGCGGCGTGGTGATGAGACCGTGCTGAAAGACAGCCCCGCAGCTGCCTGTCTGGGCAGGTGAGGTGGAGATTGCTCATCCACGGGAAGTTCTGCTCCAGTTAAAGAGTTTTTTTCCTAAGCTTAGCATCGTAACGCTTGAGTTTCTGCAACGCTTGAGTTTTTGAGCCTCAGGAACTCACACCCGACACACCACCACACAGGGCCATTTCACACTTGGCTGCTACACATCGAAGGGTTTTCAGAGGTGTCACAAAGGAGAAGTTTTTGTCATTTTTCACTCCCCGTGTTATCGATAGAAGTGAGGTAGGAAAGATTTCTCGACAGAGATCCCAACGGTGAGTTCCCCACGTCGCTGGGAATGGACCCAGACTAACCCCCAGAGCTCATAAACATCATGTGTCGAGAGAGAGACCCAGTTAAAGGCAAACAAGTTTTAAAATCTAAGGCTTGGTGCTCGGAAGGGGCAGTACTTACCCCGAGCCCTGCAGCTCCTCAAGGTTGGAGGCGTTCCACTCGGATCCCTGCAACAGCCACAGAACTCACGTTACAAAGGAGCCCCAGAGCCAGCTCTGCAATCCCCCAGCCTCAGAGATCTTCCACCGACTGAAATGTTGCCAACAGCCTCTGAAAAGGGGACGTGGCACCAGGAGAGCCAGCGCACCGAGGTGTCCTGTCCTGAGCGGGCAGGGACCTCCGAAGGAGGGCACATAAGCGTCACACCCTCGCCTAAGGAGTCAGTTCCAGGCCAGCGTGTGACTGAGCACAGCTCAAACTGCTGCCCCCGGCCCTGCTGGAGTTTCAAATTGTACAAGGGAAGAAAAACAAAACGATTGTGCGTGGCATGACTGGCATCACAGGTTTATGAGAAGCGTGGCAAATCCTGAAAGCTATTGGGGTGGTTACATACCTGCAAACCAGAAAGCTAGAAAGTGTGTAAAAAGCAGGTTTTGCCCTCAACCGTGAGCACTTCCTCTGATCCCATCCAAAACATTAAAAAAAGGAAGACCCAAGCATTAACGGGCATGAACGAGTCCATCTCAAGCAAGTCTTTGTTCCAGATGGCAGTGCCTGGTTTTGCTTGGAGTTCCATCTAGTGGCAAAAGATCAGATGCAACACACCCTGTCCTTTGCTCCTGGAACAGCAACGTCACCTTCAGCCTTCCCATAGCTCTGGCCATGCCTACAGATCTTCAGAGGCTCAGTCCAGAAAAACAAGACAGTGACTCTAACCAAAGAGCAACTGGCTGTCACACTAGGGCAGCACCCACAGCTAAACTTTTTTGTCATAAATGAAAGCCTCCATCTCTAAAAATAGAAGATGAGTGTGCACAGAGAGAACTTGAGCTATGCCCTCCAACAGGAGCAACCCACCAGGAAAAAACTGTTTTATCAAGTGACAGAAACAAGGATGCAGCTAGTAAAAAGGGCTTCTCTGCTGCAGGCTTTTAGGAGCAATACGGGTCTTGGAGTAAAGTCACAGCGGGCTGGACCTCCTCCTGCTCCTGCTGCAGAAGGCAGTGTGACACCCAGTCCAGCTTCCTCCAAGCCCAGCGACTCCTCAGATCCCTCCCATCTGGAGCTCCTAACACGGCAGCTTACCAGATATAAGTGATCAAAAATCAGGGACGGTTTGTCCATCTGACCCAGGATGAGCAGCATTTCGTTGTCTATAAACTCCTTGAATTCCTTCAAGTTGCAATTCATGTGTTTCTCCAGCTCATTTCGTATCTGCGGAGCACAAAACACAAAGGATGTCGCCTAGAATCATGGCTGCTCAATAGAAACATTTGTTGGCGCTCCTTTGCAAAACACTTTCTCTGCACTTCATTAAAAACCACCAAGAGGAGATGGACCTTTTGGAGACAAGGAATCTCACCATGTGGCAGCTCTCCAACTACCCTAGGCCTCCACCTTGGAGATCTGTAAATAAAGCTTGAAATAACATCTGAGTATAAAAAAAAAAATAATGTATTTTAAGGTGCCTGCTTCTTAAAAATAATTTGAGGGAGAAAAACCAAGACTTTGGAGAGCAGCGAACAAAAAACCATGAGTGAAGTGATGTTGGAAATCCAGACTCAAAAGCCAGTGATCCCCAGTCACACAGTGTCTCTTCATCTCTGGAAAAGCAATCTAGCAGGAAGAATGAGATAGGAGGAATTTTTATATTTACCTCCTTAGAAGTCACATTTTCCAGGTCTTTGCTCATCATGATGCTCCGCAGTTTGGCTTTAATGAGCCGTTCTGTTCGTTCCCTTTCAGTTGGCCTGGAAAGGAAAAGAAGAAGATGTCTCTGAGCTGGCAGCAAATATACGGTGCGACTCAGAATTGTGTTAAAACTCGTTTGTGCAAAAATGATGGAAGCAAAACATCTGAAGACATTTATGAAAAGAAAGGGACCGAACCACCGGAGGAACATAAGGGAGCAGGGGAGATTTCTCTCGTGAGCCGAGCCAATTTTTTCGAATAGAATTCAGAACTGACTTGTCAACAAAGAGCGCTGGGGAGTCGGGGCGGGTGGACTCCAGGTCCTGCATGGCGTTCCACTCGTTGATGCAGCTCTGGTCGGAGCTGATGCAGCTTTCATAGTACGTGGCCCAGACCAAAGCCATCCCGCCTGGGAAGTAGTTGTACCTTCTCGCAACTTCACAGGCTTTGTGGAGGATCTGCAGAGCGGACCTGTGAGTTCGGAGAAGAGATTTGATTAAACGTGAGCGGCGGGAACAGAGCAAGCAGGATTTGAGAGGTTTTCCCGGGGCGGGGAGAAAAAAAGAAAAGGATTTTCAACGTTGTTTATTGCAGTTTGCTGTTTGACAGCAGCAGATTTCTTGTATCAGAGTTCAAAGAGCACAGACTGCACCTCGGAGGCCTCCTCAAGAGCCAGTCCAAGGCAGAGGCTGAAATCTCCTGATTAACAGGCAAGCACAAGGCCCAAGTCACTCTGGGATCTAATCATTAGCTAACTCGTAGAGCCAGACCAAAGAAAAATAAAGAACATGGACAATTTTCAAATCACCTTCAGCAAGGAGTCGAATGTTTACCAGCATTCTTGGCCCCTGACATGCTCCAGGGACAAGGCCCAGATTGGGTCATTTGTTTTTGCAAATTCTAGCATTACTTTTTCTTTCCTTCCCCCCCGCTTTTTTTTTTATTTTTGAAGTCTCTACTTCGAAGATGTCATCGGACTGAAGGCAATAACCACATCTAAGGTTGCCAACAAGGAGGGGCCGGGTTCAGAATCGACAGGAACAAGAGCTGTGTTTGTTCCTGCGCCGAGCCATCCCCCTCGACATCTGTATCTTCTCCCTCTCGGATGCCGCAAGGACACGGATCTCTCGAGGCTCCAAGAAGAGCCAGCAAACTGCCCAGGCCAAAAGAGACGCGTTTGTTCTGCACGGGGCCGGGCAGCAGCAGCCTCTCCAAGGAGGAATTTGCTGGCGCGGCCGCTGCTGATTCAGCCACCTCTGCTTCAGCGTTTTGGAATCCCTGCACATGGGAGGGGTGACAGGGAGCTGAAAGGTGAACAGGCACCCGGGGCAGCACGGAAACTTGAGGCAGGAACCCCAATCTGTCCCTCAGTAAAGATGCAGAACACAGGGAAGGCCACCAGACTGGGAACGGGCACCCAGCCACCTCCTTCTGCCAGTCACAGCAACACACAGAGAGAGGAGAGGCTGGGTTTGCAGCCTGATGAATTCACGTTGTTTTCTGTATTTATTCACCTCCCTAGTGCCATTTTCCTTACACTGAAGGGCACAGAGCTGCTCCAAGCAGAAGATCCTGTTTTGAGATTCTCACAGTCCCTTTTTACAGTGCTGCTACCTGCTGACGCAGGGAAGCAGCATCTCTGCTGCAGCTCAACAAGCGCCTATTAACGGAGAATGCCGAAAGGCAGGTTGTTTATTTGGTTTTAATTTATTCAGAGAAATGGCAGCCTCTTTCTCAATGAAGCTAATTAACACACATACCACATGGCTTGCACGGACACCGGCTTGAAGATGTGCATCCTCCCCGCAGTGCTCACGCTGAAGCCACTAACAAAGGGAGTTAAAAATACAAGTCAGAAAACTGCTCTTGGCACCACGAGCTGCGCTCTACAAACAGCTGCTACGGGGGCACTCGCAGTCAAAAAGAAGCAGGGGTGACAATCTCTATCACCGATTTTCCAACACCCTCCCAAATAAGAACGGCAAGCTGCCAGGAATGGGAGCTCCACTCCTCGAGCAGAGACCGTTCACTGGGTAGCACAGGTGGCAGCTTGAGGGCAGCGAGGGAAAAACTCGCTGTCTGGACAAGGGGACTGCAGCCACGGAACCAAAATCGAAACTTCATTGGTGAGGGGAAGGAGGATCTCTCCTAGAGCTGCCCTCAAGCAGGGAAGGGCATTCACATTAAAAAGATAAATGTGGTTTCTTACCCGTCGCCGTCAAGATGGATTTTAGTATCGCTCCACAGGCGAAGAACCATCCCTATAGTGCAGCTTTTACTGGAAGAGAGGTTGTCAGGCAGGACGTTAAATACAGGCCATAACGTGGTCATGCCAATACCCTAAATTATTAATGATCTTTAATTTTTAAAATCCTCAAGTCTTGCTCTAGCAACTCCTAGGCCATCAAACGCATAACACACAAGGAGACGGGCAGCTGTTCCAGATATCAGCACGCCAATTGCTCCACAGCGCTGGAGAAACCGCGTGGTCAATTTTCACTTCATCGCTCTGGCTGCTAACAAAAGACAAAAAATCCCCAGATCTTACAAGTTTACCTAACCCAAAAAGAACATTTTTTGTTTTGGAGATGCAGTCTGGCAAGAAAACCTTTCTGTAATGGGGGGCAGTAAACTTTCAGCTGGTAAATAATTAAGCTACTGAGATATTAAAGTTTTAAAGGAAATTGGGATGCATACAGCAACAGCCAGTCAGCAAAGAACTTGGGTTTGGCTTTGTTTTTTTCTCTTTTTTTTAAGCCTTCAGCTGCTTTCCACAGCAGATCAAAAGACTTGACAGGCCAGTCTGAACACACATGCGGACAATGTGCACTTCAGAGCTTTACGAAGAAACAGTGGTTTTTATTAAGCCCATGTAAAAGGAATGAAACCCGCAAAAGGGCCTGACTAGTCCAGCTGTCTGCAGTGGGAGCACTTACAGCTCAGCAGTGACACTGCAGCCCCAACAGAGCACCAAGGAGTCACCCAGTGACGTCACTAACGCCAACCGACTTCTTCACGCAGAAGACTAACCCTTAATTAACAAAAACTTTGGCTTTCAGGGGTGACAGTAACTGAAGTGGCAGCCGGTTAAAGCCAGGATGGTTTTGTCACAACTTTTCCATCTTTCCTCTTGTCTCATACCAATAAGCACCAGGAGTAAACGATTGCAAGGTTGTTTCAGATTGGAAGGTGACACAGCAAATGTTCCCCAGTGAGAAGAATTTCCTCCCTAACGTTAACAGCAGTAATTTAGCAGCAGGTACAAGAGGTAGCACACAAGCCGATGACAATAATCTTAGAAGGAAGGCACGGCCAGGAGTTTCCTCACAGGTCTCACCGCAGTGAAAAAGCTTCCTCCTCTTCCACTTACAGCGATGGAAACCGTCGCTGAGGTTTTCCAAAAAGAAAACAAACGTCAAACTGGCTGCACCAGCACGACATGGCAGCTGCTAAATCATCAGGGAGCAGGAACAACAGTCTGGAAGCTCTGACTTTGAACTCTGTCTCTCTGAGTCAAAAGTTTTTCTGCCTTGGTTTTCTCACCTAGAACTGGAATGCCCTGAGACAGTCTGCGATAACAAAGTACTTCATTTGCCTTTCAAAATATTACATGCTCTTATCAGTTAGACAAAAGAAACAGCTCATTACTGACACGTTTGTTGGTTTTGGAGGTACTCTAGATGTTATTTGGCAGCTAAGCTACCCCCAAAACTCAGCTCCATTGCATCATACCGTCGACAGACTCGAAGCCTGGCAGATGGAGTAAGTTCCAGTTTTGCAAATGTGTCTACAAGAGCATTTTGTAGCAAGCAGACACCACAGATGCAGCAGACGCCACAGCCCTACACATGGATCACACGTGAACGTCTTGTCCATGGCTGCCCAGAAATTTCAAGACCAGAAGATTTCTGGAACAAAAATCACCCTTGCGTCCTCATAACCGGTGAGAAAACTCAACACACGTCCCTTCCCTTGCTCAAATTCGCAAATATGTGTAAACCAGCTGCTTGGGGACAGTTTGGTGCCAACAGGCTTTCCAGAGAAGCCAGCCTGCCTGATTTCCGAGCCCAGCCTCGCCGCAGACATACCTCTCCTTGCTGGAGAAATCCACGCCCAGCAGAATATTCTCTTCCGTGTCCTGTCGCCCGCTGCTGTACACAACCACCATGTACCGGACTCGGTCCGTCCACACGCTTTCCAAACGGACAGCCTAGAAAAAGGTCAGCAAGCTCTGCAAACTAGCTTTTACATAATTATTACTTCCATCACTGCCTAATTTTTGTTTATTTATTCTTTTTTAAGGTGTAATTGTGCCCCAAAGCTTTATTTAGCTGCAGTATGAAAGACAAAGGGAGACACAGTCCTTCTTCCAGCAAGGCCGGTTGCCAGTTTGACTTGGCATCAGGCGGGGAGAAGATTAGCCTAGATTACCTGCCCCCATTTGGAGAAATACTACACGGTGTAACCTGAAGATTTGAACCTCTGCAGGTCTGTTTCAGACACCTCCAATAAAGAGGAGAGCAGGAAAACGTGTATTTTCTTACCAGTTTGATCCTATCCTCACAGCGAAGGAGGTTGATCATCACCTGGAGATGCTGGGGTAAATCACCTGCAGAGAAACCAGAAAAATAACTGGAAAGAATCTCACACTTGTTGCACTAAGAATGGGCAGAGTCTTGACCTTTAATGAAATCAGATGTTTCAAAGTCAAAAAATACAATTTAAGGAAGGCCAATGAGCTTTACTGTCCCAGCGAACGCTAATAGAAGTGAGCCTCCTGGAGGACTGATACCTGGCTGTGTGAGAACTCAACTTTACCGTACTTGGAAGCTACCAAGTATGTTGAGACCATCTATGACTGTTACAGCATCTTGGAGAAGACAAAAATAAGGAATAAAGGAGGAAAAAAACCCCAGCTATGACTTGTGAATCACCCTCAGCACGGTGGGATCAGCCCCGCTGGCCTTACGGAGGGTACACACGAACACGAGAAACTCCTGAGGAGGAAGGGCTGCAGGAGCGTGTGGGTTTGGGTGATGGGATCCCATCCCAAAGAGCTGCTCACTCGATAGGTTCCTTGGGCTCTAGAGCAGTGGGTACGTTTCTGGTGAAAGCAAAAGAAACGAGGAATCCACAAGACAACAAAACAACTTTGCACCTAAGAACTCAGTAACGTGCTCCTAACTCTCCACACAAGATCAAGTTCCTTCTGTGGGATGTTTGCTGGGTATATGAAATTGCTGACAATTCAAGAAACCCAAAGCCAAGCCTGGCATTCAAACACCCTCTTTGTGCTTGGAGTGTTTACTAAGCAGCACGCACACAGTACCACACTGTGCCTTTCCCACATGCTCCTGCTCTCCAAACGCTCCAACGATCTGATTTTCTTCTGTCCCAGTAATCCCTTACCCTAAAGCTGTCAAAGACAGAATAACACAAAGGCATAAAACCACTGGGTAAGCAGAATCCACTGTGCTGAACCTCCTACCTGCTTCTCAGTCCTGATGTACGCTCACCATACAACTCCCTACCGTTTCTTCCCACCAGTTTGGCACACTGGAGGGGACTGGGGGGAAGAAGGACACTGTTCTCAAACCATGATGAGCTCTCAGAGGCCAGATTGTGATGAATTAACTGGAAAGGGGGTTCTCCTGACACCAGAAAGGGAGATATAAGGAGGTAAGAAACAGAGACCCAAATCCTTTTATATCACTCCTCACTCTTAGCAGCAACATTGAACAAAGCCAGCAACAGGCAGTTTCAAAAAAAAAATAAAGTAAAAAACACCAATGCTGTCAGCTGACACCAAAAGTCCCAAATTTCAGATTATTGGAGGCTGGAAGAGCATTGGAGAAGTGTCCTTCTGCCACTCAATCAGGACCTTGACACTGATAGAAGAGGTTCTAGAGCCCTTGTGACTCAGCCCATCCAATCTTCCTCCCCACGGGCCAACCCGGAAGGCAAAGATCAAATTGTTGAAGCACAAGTGACATTTCTTTATGTGCAGAATACAGGGCAACGTGTTCAGCGCAGACCTTCTGGCTCAGCAGGCTTCCCTGCCTAAAGAATGCCGTAACAGAGAGGATTTCTCCTCCGGTTACAGTTGTGAGATAACGACAGAAGTTTAAACAGAGACTTCATAATCATATGTTCCCACTCAAATCAAGTGGGCTGGAAACCCGGGTTTACTCCGCAGGTTGTTCCAGGCCTGCTATGACAACTGAAGGAGTCACCTACTCCCACCTAGATGGGCCAGGCAGCAAAGAAAAAGAGAGAAAAATCATTTCAGTAGGTGATTTAATCCCCTACCTGCATGTTTGTGAGGATGCTGGAGACTTCGCTGGCCCTGGGAGCTGTTGCCTTGTTGTAGGAAAAGGGCTGCGCCTTTCACCATGAAAAAGCTCTCGCTCAGGCTGGAAAACAAATGACAAAGAAAAGTCAAACGGAAGGAAATCACAGTGAAATGCGGGTCCATAGGGCCGGGGAAGGAAAGGTTTCCCCTCACTAAAGCGTAGTGGGGTTCTGCCACCAGAAGCCGTTCCCCAGGTTTGATCCTGCCACATGCACGGCATGGCTCCAGGATTATTCATGGATTATTCATGTGTCATTTTGCACCAACATTTCATTACTTGGCCACTGCAGGAGATACTTGCCTGAGCTGTCACGGGCTGGAAATGACTTTATCGTTTGATTATCAAACTCTGCAACTTAAACCACAGCAGAGGGCAAGACTTTTTGCAGGCTTAGACCTGTACGATGACTGAGGAGCAGGTTCCAAGTCAATCAGTTCCTACTCATTTCGATCCCTCTCGAGATTCCTTCGGAACGCAAAAAACAAGAACGCGCAACCAGAAACTGCCCGTAGATGCGAAGAGGAAGGCGAGTGTAACCTGCGCATCACAAGAGAACGGAAACTGCACCGAAACCTCACAGGGGGAAAAAAAAAGAAACAACCAACACAACAGTAAAGATTTTGCTTTGCTCTGGCTGGGTACAACCGTCCTGGAAAATACTCTCAATAAGAAGGCAGCACATAATGAGATTTCGCGTTTCCCACGAGGCCGAAAAAATCAACATGTGCTAAGCTACCTTTCAGTTGCCACAGTAACTGCTTACGCTGCATTTCCTACGCCGTTCGTGACATCGCTAGAGACATTCCTCCTCGCAAAAGTCCAATTTTCTGCAGCCCTACGCTTCCAAACGTAGATCTTCATTAATTACTGTCTGCTATCTGCTAAATATAAACGCTCCATTTGTGCAGTTGTGCTCCACGGGAGTTCCTTGTGCTACAGAAAGCGATCCCGCAGGGGATGCTACTCCCAGCGCTCGCCTGCTCTGCGCTTTATCTGGGGTCTTTGCCTTCGGGCAGAAGCGAGCACGAACACTCCATTCTGTGTCTATGTTTTCGTGCAGACAGACATGAACTTCGTGTTTTTTCAGCTTCTGCAGCAAGTTCAGCTTTCCCCTTCCCTGAGAAGGCAGGCGGGGATCCCAGGCAAAGCTTCCTCATTTTTTCAACTCAACCTTCAAGGCGTGAAATCCCCTGGAAATAAATCTGGATCATGCTTAAATTTAAGATCCCTGCTGCTTTTAAAAAAAAACAAACTCAAATTTTCACCTAAACCCCAAGTCCCACGAGTCACAGATCAAGAAAAGGCCGGCAGGATTCAAACGCTGATTCAAAGGAGCTTTTCTCCCCGCAGAATTCCAGCACTCACCCCTCGCTTTGCCAGAGTTTGCTCGCGATCCAAACCGCCGGCTCCGCTCTGCCCGGCACACGCGCTAACGGCAAGAATTCCTGCAAACGGAAATTTGGTTCATCCCAGAAGCGAGCCAGGAAGAGTCTCGTTTCCTTCCGAGCACCAGATTCTCACAGGAAAGTGTTAAAAAAAAAAAAAGGCCAGAAGTTACACAAAAGCGCGACACCAACACAAGGTGTAGGGTGATCAGCTGGACACCAGTTTCACGCACACTCATCTGTTTTCAGCAGGGAATGGTTAGATAATGCACAAAGAGATAATTCACAGCATTATACCCCAAGAAATAGGGGAAATATTTCTTTGGCAAAGTCAAAAAATACCCCAAAGTGAAAAAATATTCCTAATAAAGTACTTCTTGGAATTTCCACCGCAGGAAAGAGGGACAGAGCCCCTCCCCGAAGTCACCAGTAACTCCTGCTCTGATGGTTCATCTTGCCTCTCTCGCGGTTGGGAAATCTTTCACAAGAAAACAGAATATTCCCAGTTGTGGGCAAATGAGAAAGCTGTGTCGCAGGAGCAGAAAGCGACTGCAGGAAACAGGCGACCCGCCGAGCAAAAATTTGGTCACCGTGTCTTCATCTGCGTGGAAATGAAGTGGAAAGCAAAGCCAAAGGACCCACTGAGAGGACAACTACTTTTTTTTAATTTAAACGCTCGTTTCCTAACCTTGCGACGTGCAGCTTGCCATGACCCAGGGCTGCCCATACCCCCACGCAAGCTCCCACATCCACAGAACGAGGACGGTGCCGTACGCAGGTGACGCATCCGAGCGTCTCTTTGCGAGAGCTCATCTTTTACACCAGAACCATCGGCGTTACCCACCACCGTCCTCAGTCTCCGCTCTAGGAACGCTCTTCTGCTCTCAGTCACTTCATGCAAGCGCTCTAGCAGACAGCTAACAAAAGGAAAAGTGAGAAAAAGGCAGGATATTCCACCACAGTTTCTAAAACCCTTTTAAATCCCACAGTTCCAGTAAACAACTAAAACTCCAGGCTTTTGAGAAAAAGAAAATATCTCCGAGAGAACAGACAAATCCTATTGTTAAAGAACATCCCCAACTTTTGACCCTCGTGATAAATGCCCCAGTAAGCAGCATTTGTTAGCAGCATAAAAACGAGTGGCTTATACATACTAATTTGGAATGGTTTTCTTTGAACAGCAGAAGCATTGTGGTGGCCCGAGAGTCAGACAGAAGTCAGTAAATTCGAAAAGATTCATAACGAGCTGTAAAACTCACATCCTTTTGCTTCTAAACCCATAAAAGAAAAAAAATAAAGAAGAAAAGGAAAAGAAAAGGTTGACCGTATATTCTGTGCGGAGCAGAGAAATGGTGTCTGTCGATGCTACCCAGGAACTGGACGACTTTTACAGAACACTCTGTCTTCCACCGATATCCTGGCTTGAAAAAGCACTTGTCCCAACACATCCTGATGAAAGAGGGCCATTCAAGAGGGGAAAAAACCAGCTGAGGCTCGTCTAACCATCTCCCTCCTCCAGACTTGTTTGTTTGTTTGCCTCCTCCCGCGTGCTCCGGAGGCGAGGCAGCGCCTATCAGCGACCCGGCGGCGAAGCAAAGTCCGTATTCCCTGGGGCAGGACCAGATCAAACCCATCGACTAACGCCTGCTCATTTCTTTACGATTAAGACACCGCTGTAACGCAGATATGACAGAGGCATTAGCTGCCAAATTAAAACACTTCTTCGCCTACCGTGTGGTTTGATTTTCAGAGCGACTCGCGAGTCGCTGAGCTGCTACGGTCCAAGAAAATCTTTCAGGGGGTTTGGGAGACGTTTGTTAGCGAATTCACCCAAGACTTGTTTCTTACAGACCCCTCACAAATTCTCTAGGCAAAACCCACGGCGACACGCTCGTGTTTCACAGCCCAGCCAAGGGAAGAAGCAGCTTTCTGTCCAGCGTTTGCCCACCCACCGGGGCGCACAGCAGAAACCGCCCGATCCCGGGATGCCCTTCCAGGAATTCCAACCAGCAGAGCTACTTGCCAGGAGTCACTTCAGGCTCTCAAACAGATACAGAGCCCTGGAGTTTTGTTCCAGCTCTGGGACTTGGGTGCTCCAGTGCAGCTGCAGACCGGTCCTCCTCCCACTCCATAACCTCAGTTAACCAAATCACTGCCATTAACTCCCCAAGGGAGGTGCAAACTTTTGCTTTTATCTGGGAAAATACCAGAAGTATCATCTGGAGGGTGCAGACAGCACCGGTGCTTTGCTATCTGCAAAGCAGGGGCCCTTCTGCACCCAAGGGCAGAGGGTGCTCTGTGGCCCCAGCGTCTCTTGCTTCACTGTCCCTTGCTCCAGCCATTGGCTCCACGCTGCTCAACTCAAGAAGGGAATATTTCTTCCCCTTTGGGAAAGCTCCAGAAGAGTGTGGCTGCAAAACACATCAATTACATTTCAAGTTGCTACAGAACACAATAGGCAGGGCCTTTTAATCGTTACAGAATGCCACCATGTCATCCCCTCCCGGGGAATCAATCTGTTCAAAATCCTGGGTTTCAGAACAAGAGACAGAGCTGTTCGCATTCCTGGATGGACAGAGCGAGCTGGAAACCACTCGCAGAACAATTTTTCCCCAAGCAGCTTGCCTTGCTGTTGTGGCTCAGGCTGTGGTGTGTCCCAGGAAGAAACCTTGTGTGCCTCGGGTGTATGTTTTAATGGGAAATCTCACATAAGATGCAGGATACAGATATATCTTGTAGCTACATAACTCATCTCAAAATAAATATCCAGTCATAGAAGCTAGTAGAGGGGAAAACCGCTATCCCTGGGAAGACAGACGAGCCTGAAGTTGATTCAACAGCCTCTTGCTAGTCTAAGAATTAAAACACAGTATCTAGCTAAAGAGGGAGAATGCAGACATCGGAGTTTGTATCTGGCCAGGTTATCCCTTCTGCTCCCAAAACTGCTGCAGGGTGCCCAAGGAGCCTGATTCCCCACACCTGCAACAACCCTCTGTAACTCCTGGAGCTCTGATGAGCTCCTTATCTTTGTGTTTGCTGCTGATCACAAGAGAGAAGCCCGTTTATAGAATCACTGAGGTTGGAGAAGACCTCTAAGATCGCCAAGGCCAACCATCTGCCCAACACTACCGTGACCACTAAACCATTTAGTGCAAGCACCCTTCGGATCCACTTGCTTACAGCTCTCTCCCAAAGAGAGGATACTCCAGATGCCCTTTCAAGGCATCTGCTCCCACTTGAAGCTTTTTCTATTCAACCTTTCCTCTTGAGCAACTCTCACATTGTTGACCTGTCCTCCGCTGGCGAAGCTCCATCGCCTGGAGAAGCTCTGCAACGAAGCCTCACCCAGGCAAAAGGGTCACCGCCTGCTCGGCGAGAGCTAAATCTCTGTCAAATCAAATTTCTTAATTTCTCCCTCGTTAATGGAACAAAACGTAGGTGTGCTGCGGGGGCAGAGAAGGTCATGTATCCATCAGGCTTCAGAGGATGGCGAGGGCAGTGCTGGAGCAGGAACACCCCCTGGCCCGTGGTTCTCCTGCCCTTCCTACCCAGCACACTCAGCCCTTGCCCCGTGCCCACAGGAGCTGCCCTCCTGCAACCTGCTCCATGGTTTAGAAAAAAATAAAATAAAAAAATAACCAACACCCCTACTTGCTTCTCTCAAAACTGTTCGCAATTATTAGAAAGCATGAACGTGGCAGTGCCTCCCGGTTCCTTGGGCCTTACGGCATCTTCTGCTCAACACATTGCCAAGCTGATAAGGTAAGAGGGAAAAAAAAAACAAGACAGGCCTCATGAGCTCCACAAAATTAACCATGCTTCCCTTTTCCACAGCATTTTTGACAAGGAGGAAGAGAAATTATTTTTTTGTTGCTGTTGTTCAACCCAAGAAACAGAAACGGGAGGTTTAATGGCAGCAGCAGGGTCATTTCTCATGCTTTAAAAAAATTAAATAAATATCTAGCATGTTTCCAAGTGGCCTGTGCTCTGTGTGACACACCAGTCACGCCAGAGAAACATTAAATGAAACCTAAAGGAACCACCTTTACAAATAGAGCTGAGAATATCGCCACGACCGTCACTGCTTATCTCAACCTGGGGCGGACGAGTAGAGTGAGCCCCATGCAGTAGGATCTGGGAAGACCCAGTTCTAAGCTGTGTTTTAAACCAAAGCGCTGCTGCAAACCTGCAGAGACCTTGCGACATGCTGAAATAAGTGGCCTGTGGTCAGAGCCGC